CGCTGCTGGCTGGACCGCCCTGTGTCCTCCTTCCCTCAAACACACACACCTATGGCTCAGACAACCGAGCCAGTCTCGCCCGCGAGCAGAGGTGCTAGAAACTTTGGGAGACGAAAACTGAGCTGTCTTTCTTGACCAGTGGCACTGCGAGAAAAAGCCGTGTGCACCCCGCGGCTGACCACTCCAACACTAGATACATGTACCGCCCTCGGGCTTCATTTTGTCGAGTTCTTCTTAGGTACAATTGGATTTGGAGGAAGGAAAAGATGATAAGTTTAAACAGAAAAAAAAAAAAAAGATAATAGCATCTTATGTATTCACCATGCTTCACACTTTACAAGGGGTTTTCTCAAGCCGGGCACACAGTAGGCTCTTGATAGAGGTTTACTGGATCAAAGTATTCCAGCGTCACTCTCATAATCTCACTCTCATAATCCCGCGTCTCAGAATCGCACTTTTAAGGCAATAGGGTCATCGCCACTTTAGAGAAGAGGAAACTGAGGCTCAGAGAAGAGGCAGCCAGTAGGTGGCGAAGCTGCAGCTCGAGTGTCATCTCCTAAATTCAAGGCCAGTGCTTTTTTTCTCCATGAAATAAATGCCCCTGGCCTCAGCCTTTTCCCTTCTGCCCTCCACCCTCGAGCATTCCGAAAAGTCAAATCGAGCCTATGCATTCAAATCCAAGTAGGGTCGGAGCCAACACCTGTGTCCTGGGCGCCTGCCGGGCAAGGCGGGGGGGCTGGACGGGTCGGAAACGGGGGAGGGATGCCCTTCGCCGAGCTGTCAGGTCGGGCTGGTGACGCTGGAGGCGACGGATTCCTAAAACGCTATAAGGGGTTGACGGGTGGCGCTGCTGCCCCGCCGCGTCCCGAGCTGCACAGATCCTGAGCTCCCCGTGCCGAGCGTCCAGGCCCCCAGCGCCACTCCACCGTCGAGATCACAGCTTCAAACCTCAACTCCTTGGAGCCTTCGAAGGCTCAGTTCTGACTGCTGAGTATTTCCTGGAAAGAAAAAGAAGTCCAAAGCGATGAAATGACCCCTCCGGGGTCACCCACCCAGTGGTGTCTGGACTCGAGCTGGAAGCCACGTTTCTGAGCTCCGGGGCTGGCTTTCTCCCACCCTCTTCAAATCCACTTTAGGAGTTTCGTCTGGGAAAAGTATGCGCCGAGAAGTCAGCCGAAGGTCAGGCAAGTGCCAGGCTAGCGTGACAAGGAAGGCTCCTGGGATGACCCCAAACGTAACTAACCCAGGCAACCTTCCGCACGTCAGAAGTCAGTGGGTAAAGGGAGAACCCATGGAAATTGAGATGTGCGCGTAAACCTTTGCCTTCTTTCTAGCCCTGCACGTCGTCCTAGCCCTATCGGTAACTTGTGTTCCTCCTCGCCCTGGGCACAGCTGTCCGCAGAAGCCGTGGGAAGGCCTGGCCTCGATCCAGCCCAAGGAGCGCGTGAGACCCTCCAGGGACTGGGGGCATGGAGGAGAATGAATAAATAACCTCTCCTAAAGTTCCACATCGTTTTTTACTCCCCTCCATAGAGCCAATTAAACGCAATAAAAGCTTGCATGGAACCCCTCTTCCTAGCATAGCGTCGCCAACAATTGCCTAAGGGGTAAACCAAATACGCCTGAGATAATTACACTAAGCCCGGGGCAATGATTTGCCTGCCAGCGTCCTGAGCGCCAGCCAATATTTGGATAGTGCAGTAGTTGTTTAAAAACAAAGAAAAAAATTACTCGCGGAAACTTGAAACCGACTGGTTGGTGCCAGGGTGGTTACACGATCTGTTTTTGAGCGGGGGTCTGCAGGCAGCTGGAGCGCGCGCCTTCCTGCCCCCGCCGGTGCCACTGCGCGCCTGCAAAACTTGTCGCGGAATTAACCTCCCGGGAAGTAGGGGAAGAGGAGAGCGCGCTCCCCCACCGCGGCCCCAGCTCTGCAGCCCTGCCCCGCGCAGCGCTTGGAATCCCCCAGGATCCTCCGCGGCGGCCGCGGCCCGCCACTCGCCAAAACAGACACGCGACCCGAGCTCCCTGTCTGCGCTCTAGGCCGCATTGTGGCTTGTGCCGCCGCGTACGACTGTGGCCTCGGTGGTGGGGAGCACTTTCTACCCTTACCAAGCACAACCTGAATGTGGAAGCGTGAGGCTCGGGGCGCTTCGCTCAGCCTCCGCGACTGTTTTGTCCCAGGTTGCGTGGAACCCGGCCAACTGAACTCTGCTTGCCGAGGCCGAAGACACTGGCCAAGCCCCTGGCGTCCCTTGGCGCTGAACCCGAGGTTGTGGTGGCGGGTCTGCAGCCTGTAGCAAGCTCACCTCGTGAGCGCCTGGCTCATTTTTTGTGTTCAGGGTTCGTGTTATGCGCCCAAGATTTGTCCCGGGAGTCTTTAAAGGGCCCCTCCCCTCGATTTGTTCCCAGGCGCCGCAAGTGACCAACGGGCACGGTCCCAGAGCTGCTCCCCAAAAGAAGACTCTGCTGTTCCAGCAACCCGCGGAAGAGATGCTATCCGAGGTACCAACAAAAGATCCCTTTGCTCGAGCTGCGTGTGGGGTCGAAGTCTGGAGAGCCCTTACGCGCGCGACACGCAGAGCTCCTCAGCAGAGGCCTGACAGCGGTGCAGGAGACCCCAGCTTCCTGGGCTGGGACAGGGCTGTTGTCGCCCCGTCTTGTTCCAAGGAAAAGGAGCCACCTGACTCCAGCGGGCTCTTGTCAAACTGTGAGCGTCCGTGGAATTCTGTGGCTTCCTGAGGCCAAGAGGCTGTCCGCTGCTCGGCTCTCTAAAGTGTCTCAGCGGACAAAAATCCCGCAGAAACTCCTATGGCAGGAGGAACGCTTCTGGCATACAGTGAAAGAGGAAACATCCTCCTCTGAAAAGGGCTTAGGACCAAGAAGTTGCTCTTTCCCCCAGGCCTTCTTGCAAGCTTCAATTGTAACATCTATTCTCAGACGTCTCCTGGCCTAGGACAAACTGGCCACATAGAGCTAGCCAGAGATTTAGCTCCTGGCTAAAGATGGAAATTATGAACCTGACCCGCTCAAGGCACTCCTGCGACCTGGCTAAGCCACCCCGCGGACAGACGTGCTCCCACCGTGCAGCTCGCCAAAAGCCAGAAGCTGAAAACACCCGATCTGGTGTCACCAAGGTTGCTAGTGAGGGGGCAGCCCCCCAAGCCGCTGGGCCGATGACTTTCTTCGAGTTTAGGCGTGGGAGTAAATCGAGTAAGCCATAGTGTCCAAATGCCCTTTTCTCCTCAAATCGCCTAACGGGAAAGGATCCATGAAATTTCCAACTTCAGCCACCCTGTTTTACAAATAATGAAACAGGCCCAGAAACGGAGAGCATACTTGTTTCTAAACTCTGCTTTTCCTCCCAGCCAAAGGGCAAAGGTAGCCAAAACGAGTATACAACTTCAGGTTCTCCCTGCAGTAAACTGGGGTTTCCTGCTGGGTGTTTGGATGAGTGCAGAGCAGGAACCTCCAAGCAGAAGGACCTTACGCCTGGGTTCATCCACCTCTCCCTCGCAGGTCACACCAGGATTTTGTGGACTGATAATTTTTGCTTCCTATTTAATTATCTCCATTCCACCTCCTGCCTAGCCCCGGCCCCACACCCCTATGCTAAGAATAGCAAAAACTTCCTTCTAGCACACACAGGTGATGGGACCCCTGAACCCCCAAATCTTACTTCTGGCCCCAGCTCAGACATTGCCGTCTCAGAGAAACCTCAACTTGTCCAACTCACTCGCTCCAGGAAAGTGTGGAGCCTCCATCTGCCAAGCCCTTAGTGTATATTCTATTCGTGATTTCCTAGTTACTGTCCTTCTCGCCCTCCATACCGCGATAGTGGAGCTGGGATACTGTCTCCTGTCTCTCTGCACCTGGAGCCTCACATGCAATTGGCGCGCAATAAAATTGAGATGAATTTGGCATTTGGCGAAAACACCCCATGCTTTCCTCCCCATGAGTTTTTCCCTCCAGCCCTCTGGTCACTGGGGGCTCAAGAAGAGGCCTTGAGGACACGATACTCTGAACTTGACCCGGAGTGGCTAGCCTAGGAAAAAGGGTTTTTAAGGATAGAGAAGCTCAGAGCGAGTAGATGAAAACAGGGAAGGGTAAAAGGAAGGGGTCGGAAGAGGGAGATGCCAGAGAGAAGACAAGCAAGAAAGCAGTGTCCTGTCCCCCTCTACCGTGCGTGGTGGCCCGGGTGGGGCGCAGCAGAGGGAACCGCACACGGAGCTGGGCCCCCTCCCAGCGAACAGCCTGCGCCACCCGCCGCACCCGGCCGTGGCTGGGGGCTGCCGAGCGAGTGGTGTACCCGATGGGTGGAGAGCGCCCGAAACGAGGTGGAAAAGGGGGCGGGGGCCAGGCACGGCGCCTTCTTGCCCCTTCTTCAGCTGTAGACGCGGCGGCGGCGGCGGCTGAGTCCCTCAGCCTCGGTCATGTGATAGTCTCGAAGCGCTAGCTGCGGGGGTCTCGGCGTCTCGGGGACCATTACAAAACGCAGCCAGGAGAGCGCGTCGCTGCCACTGCCGCCGCCTCTCCTCCTCAAGACAAGCCCGGGAGAAAGGCGGCAGCTGCGGCGCAGACGGCTGGGTTTCCCCTGCCAGCACTTACCCGTCATTCGCAGACACCTTCTCCAGCCCGCCGCTCGCGCCCAGCATCCTGCGCCCCCCGCTCCTCAGCAGAGCCTGCGGGCGCCGCCGCTTCAGAAACCACCAAACTTTTTTCCCCCTCGGCGACAGCCTAGGGATCGGCGTCTCTTCTAACCCCGGCGCCGCTGCGAGCTTCGGGGAAGAGACGCGCAGGCTGCTAGAAGTCAATATTCTCTCTCCTTACCCTGATTTTTCCCTCCAGGAAAAGGAGAACTCCAGCGCGGTCTGGCTAAGTGCCTGGCCAGGGGACTGCTTCCAGGGCACTGGAAGTCCTGCTGTCGCTGGCCTCCAGGACAGCAGGCGCAAACTCAGATTTAAAGGGCCAGAGTCTCTACTGCCCAGACCTTCCTCCCAGCCGGCTTGGTCTGCGTTTCCCTCCGACCTAGAAAAAGCAAAGAGGCCGGGAGGAAACACGGCCCCTCGCCACTCTCCTCTGCAGTCAGCTCCAGCACTCAGTCTTTGGCCACCCGGGGGAAGACGCAGAGAAGGCGGCGGTAAACCTGGCGCGCCCCGCCCGCGACTGTGCGCGCCAGTCGACAACCGTCGGGGCCAGAAGTTGCCAGCTTCTGAGAGCTGAGTAGGCCCGAAAGGCCAAGGTCGGAGATACCAGGCAATTCGGAGAAAGCCGGGGAGAGAAGCAGAGAAGGCCTGGAGGGCGAGAGGGCAAAGTGGCAGGACTGGAGGGGCGGAGTGGGAATTAGTGGGGTCAGCCAGGCCCCAGGAGCGGAGTGCGGAGAGACTCTGTGGCCCAGTGCGGGCCGGAGGGCGGTGGAGGAGCCGGGGGCGATGCCGCGGCCGGGGAAGAACTCGTACAGCGACCAAAAGCCGCCCTACTCTTACATCTCGCTGACTGCCATGGCAATCCAGCACTCGGCAGAGAAGATGCTGCCTCTGAGCGACATCTACAAGTTTATCATGGAGCGCTTCCCCTACTACCGCGAGCACACACAGCGCTGGCAGAACAGCCTGCGCCACAACCTCTCCTTCAACGACTGCTTCATCAAGATTCCGCGGCGCCCCGACCAGCCTGGCAAGGGTAGCTTCTGGGCGCTGCACCCCGACTGCGGTGACATGTTCGAGAACGGCAGCTTCCTGCGGCGTCGCAAGCGCTTCAAGGTGCTGCGCGCCGACCATACTCACCTGCACGCGGGAAGCACCAAGGGCGCGCCAGGCGCCGGGCCGGGAGGGCACCTTCACCCCCATCACCACCACCACCCCCATCACCACCATCATCACCACGCTGCCGCGCACCACCACCATCACCACCACCCACCCCAGCCGCCGCCGCCGCCCCCGCCGCCGCCGCACATGGTGCACTATTTCCACCAGCAACCGCCTACTGCTCCGCAGCCGCCTCCGCATCTCCCGTCGCAGCCCCCGCAGCAACCGCCCCAGCAGTCGCAGCCTCAGCAGCCGTCTCATCCCGGCAAGATGCAGGAGGCGGCGGCCGTGGCGGCGGCAGCGGCGGCGGCCGCGGCAGCCGCGGTGGGCAGTGTGGGACGCCTGTCTCAGTTCCCACCTTATGGGCTGGGCTCGGCCGCCGCCGCTGCCGCCGCGGCCGCGGCGTCCACATCAGGCTTCAAGCACCCCTTTGCCATTGAGAACATTATTGGCCGGGACTACAAGGGCGTGCTGCAGGCTGGAGGGCTGCCCTTGGCGTCCGTAATGCATCACCTGGGCTACCCCGTGCCCGGCCAGCTCGGCAACGTCGTCAGCTCAGTGTGGCCGCACGTTGGCGTCATGGATTCAGTGGCCGCCGCCGCGGCCGCCGCAGCCGCAGCCGGAGTCCCAGTAGGCCCGGAGTATGGGGCCTTCGGGGTCCCGGTCAAGGCCCTGTGCCACTCGGCAAGCCAGAGCCTGCCTGCCGTGCCGGTGCCCATCAAGCCCACGCCTGCGCTGCCGCCCGTGTCCGCGCTGCAGCCGGGGCTCACTGTCCCCGCGGCTTCGCAGCAGCCTCCGGCGCCATCCACCGTGTGCTCCGCGGCCGCGGCCTCGCCGGTTGCCTCTCTGCTGGAGCCCACAGCCCCTACTGCGGCGGAGAACAAGGGCGGCTCCTTGCACTCGGTGCTAGTGCACTCCTAGGGGACCCGGCCGGCGAGGGGAGACCAGCGCGGTGAGAGACGCCCGGCCCGGAACCGCACAAACCACCCGACGGGGAGAGGGCGCCCTGGCCAGGTTGGGCAGAGCTGGCGAGTCAGCCTTTGTTGGAAAGGAAGATATTTAAATAGACGAACAACCCCAAAAAGTGGATTCTCCGGTGGTCTAAATAAATATAACCCTCCAGGTGTCTGTATTTATACTATGTTGTACAATCAGATTAATGAAAGCCAATTTTCAGGTAAGAGTTTCTATTGTAATTAATATAAATCGATAAGTTATGGGGGGAGGGAACGAAGGAGGTTAGGAAAGCCTCATTCGCTGGTAAATTGGAAGTGGATTCCGACCCTTATTCCTGGGAGCAGAAGCTGGCAGAGCTAAACCTCCCGGGAAGAATCCAACAGAGAGTGACGCTGAAACGGATCTCAGCCACCACATTTCTCTCTGCTGGTCGCATCCTCGGCGGTCGCCTCTCGTGAACATTCAAGACAAAACTGCTGTCCACTAAGGAAATCTCGTTTTATTTGAGAAGGAAAAGAGGAAGCGTTTGATACCGTTATTTTCCTGGTCAGCTAAATGGGCAAGGAAACGGTGTCACGAATAAAGTCGCTTTGGAGGGGGAAGGGGAGGAGAGGAGGCAGCGGGAAACCCACGAAATATCTTTGAGAAACAGCTAAGTTTCTTGGCTCTGACCCGGGGGTCAAAAAGGATAGGAGGAACCGCTAGAGCAATTAGTTTGCACAAAAGAGAATGGCAGCAGCTTAAAGGGTAAAGCCCCAAATTCCAAAAGTTGGGAAACACAACCAAAGAGAGACAATACAGGCGACTTTCCACCTGCAACTCGTTTGTGTATCAATCGGATGAGAGCCCAAGAATAATGTCAATTCCCAGGATCTGTTCTATTTGGAATTTTAAGGAAACAAATCACTTGTATCGCGGGATTTTGTTCCCCTAACTTATGAATGCAGGAAAAACTCGGCACATCACTCAACAATATTGCTCTTAACGCTTGCAGGAGCGTTTCATGGCTGTTCCCTTCCAGTCTCCTCGGACGCAAGCGAGGGGACCACCCCGTCACCTTTGCACGCTGCGGCTGTTTTGGTATTCCGTGTGCTGTTTGGGCGCTTACGTCTTTCAGGCGAATTAATTCTTCAGTTTCAATTCGTGAATGGGAAAGAAACTTGCCTTGTCGCTGTTGCCCTTCCCCCCTCTTGAGCCCCAGGAATAGCACTTTACTCGCGACACACTTTTGGGAATGGAGGGGGGTAGAATGGGGAGAAACCGCTTTGCCCTTTGGCTCTAAGTCACCTCCGCCTCGTGTCCGCGCCGCGTTCGGGTTGTGACTTTGTTTATGTCTGCTGTTGTTGTACGCGGTGTTCTCTATTAAAGCTTCTCTCTGGATATCTATGCTGGCTCCGTGTGAAGGTGTTTCAGTTCTCCAGGGATGAGGCCGTGGTGAGTGCCCACAGTTAGGTTAGGTTGCTTTGCGAATCCTTCCCCTCCCTCTTATTTCTTAACTTCAGAACTTCAAAGTGGTGAATTCACTGGCGATCCACCAGTAGGCACCGATTTCCTCCATTGCTCCTTTCAGCCTTTGACACCATCATCTCTTTTACTATCTATTTATTATTAGCGGTAGTATTTGAGAGACGAGATCTCACTATGTTTACCATGCTGGTCTCGAACTCCTGAGCTCAAACAGTCCTCCCATCTGGGCCTCCCAAAGTGCTAGGATTACAGGCGTGAGCCATCGCGCCTGGCCACCACCTATTTTTAATATGCCGGTTTCCTAATTGAACTTAAGTCCACCACCATGGTAGAGACTGAATTAGCAAAAATCCGCAACAGTGCGTTTTTCCTGTCACCACTATCCGTCACCTCTCTCCCATTTTGAGGTCCTCGACTACCGTCTAAGGCCAGGAACTCGGTGTCAGCGGGATGGGTGCCCGACGGCGCCCCCTTAAGTCTGAGGTGCTGGACGGAGGCAGCGGGGTTGGCGCCGGGACACTGGCGTTGCCGCCGCATTAACTAGGTAAGCGCGCCCAGCCACCGCCGCCTAGAAGACCTGTTGCGCGCGGGCACCGCGCCTCGCGGGAGGTCGCAGCATGGGGCTTGGGCCCGGAGATCTCTTGGTGGGTGAAGGCCAGCAGCCACGCTGCGAGAGCTGCAGGAAGGGAACCCGTGGGCAGCGGCGGCTGCAGAGCGGAGGCAGAGCGGCTACCGGAGTGGGCCAGGAGGCCCCGGCCGGGTGCGGCGCCTTCGCTGGGGCCTGGGAAGCCGCGACCCGGCCTCCGCCCTCCACCCTTTAGCAGGGGTCTACTTTGAATCAGCTTCCGTCTGCCCAGCCAGGCCCAACGAAAGTCACCTCTGACCTTTCATCAGAATAAAAAGCCAAAAGACGACCCATGCACAGAATGACAATGGCAGGGGCAGGAATGGGGAGGAAGTTAGGTTACATCTTAAAAATAGGTGTTTCCACGAATCCCTTATTTACAAATCCCATTGCGGGGTGCCTCAAAGTTTTGACTTCGCCTGGGAGACTCTTCTCAGGCCAGAAGTTTTGTTTTGGGGGCTCAAACAATTCGGGAGTATATCCCATTCTTCCAGCTTGAGACTGCCAGGTTTCCTGTGAGGTTTTCCTCTCCGTTATTCTGGGACTATTGAAAGAGAAAAAAAGAAAGAAGGCGGAGGGAACCATGACATGGGAGTTATAAATCTGGGGGAAGTTTGGGGTCTGGCTTCTCTGTCCATCTCCAGGTGAGTCTGAAGCCCCGGCCCGGAACCTAGTTTAGCAGCATCAAGTTACCCGGTCAGAAGGGCCTGGGATCCCAGGGGTTTCTTCAAAACACCTCCTCTTTCTTTCTCACCTGCCTGAAAGGCCCAGTGTGCTTTTTAGGGGCGCCCTCGGTCCTGCTTTCAGGAGAGAGGTGAGGCCCAAACCGACCTGCAGCGCCGGGTGGGCTGGCTCAAGTGTCAGCCTCTGCAGAAAGAGAGGAAGCTATGGACTATGAAGCCTCCCGGCACCCAGCTCCTGCCGTGGAACCTCCTCCTGCATCAGTGAGATAAACACAGTGGTTTGGTTTGGTTTTTACAGTAAGGAAAGAAAGAGCAGAGATGAGAAGGCACAGTTTTCATCCATAAGGGAACCTTGGTTCCCAAAGGAAGCTGTGCGCCAAGTGGAGACTGGAGAACAGGGGGATTCGTGCAAATAAACAAGGCGGGGGCGCTTTTCTGTCAAGGCCCTGATCCCAACGGAGACCCCGGTTAAAGCCCTGGACACCGCCCTGAAGACCCTTCTTCACTAAGATGGCGCCTGTCGTTGAACCCTAACTGTATTGTGAGGGCTTCATCCCCAGTAGCACCTACTACAGGGTTGCCAAGCCGGGAACCTAGCAAGGAATAGTCTTGACAGACCTTTGGGACACCAGGACTGGGAGAAACCCCCAGGCCCAGGCTCACTGCTGTCACCAGAATCAGATCTATATACCCAAGTGCCAAAACAAATCCACATTGGAGCCAGGTTTAGTGCTTATTTTAAACATGCTAATGGGGATCCAGCCATTGATAAAGTATTGGTTTGGCAATAATGGAAGTTTATAGATAAGCACTAAAACCTGTATAAGAGGAATAATAAATTAATGGTGATATTTTGGTAACCCTCTCAACATGAAATCATGCTCCTAGTTTCCAGGATGATAGAAAAGGCTGTAGTTGTTTAGCCTGTATCCCACTTAAGTGAACCCTGAGAAAGATGAAGAGAAGTAATGAGGAAGGAGGGAGGTGTTGATATTCTTAAAATAAAAGTAGAAAGAAAACAACTTGGAATGAACCACTTGATTATATTTTGGAGGGAAGTTGAGAACAGAGTTAAGGACCAGGGTTAGGATGAAGCTACTTTAGCTATCATCCCGAGGAGAACAGGCCCTCCCACAAGGGCTGGGACTGGCACAGTTGGCATCTGGCACTTAGGAAGCCTGTCAGTCAGGCTGGCTTGTGGTCAATTATCTCCTTAAGTAGACTGGCATTAGTCCAGCCAGGGAGGAGGACTAGTTGCATCCGTAGGAATCAGAGCCAGTTAGCTGGAAGTGGCACTGCTGAATTCCAAGCATCTTTGCATTGAGCAGTTTGGAAGGCTGATCAACACATCTCCCCCTGGGTTTCACAGGTGACATTTGCCTGCTTGGCACTAGTACAGGAAGACTCCAGCTGAGTGTGGAAACAGAGTGCCTTAGGAGAAGCAACACTGGTCATTAAAGTCACTGATTCCCCTCAAATTCCATTCATCTGACAAAATTGCCATTTTCATTCCATTTCATTCCAATGCCATTTCATTTTTCATTGTACCTAACTATGAAATGGGAAGAAAGGATAGCCTGGGGGCATGTTCAGGCTTGGAGGATGTGGCAAGGGCTTGAAGTGGTATTTGTGTTAACCAGATTATGTGTCTGTGATTCTGCGTAGGGGTGCAAGAGCAGGGTGGAGCTGGCGTTGAAAATGGAAAACTAAAGAAATGGTTGCAAAAGCCAGGCATAACCTAACCTCTTTTGGGGTTTAAAGGCAGAGCAGGAATCCAAGTGTAGGTGGGAAGACCTTGAATTTCAGAGGACAAAAACAACTTCTTCGAGTCCAGGGTTCCCCATTTTGCTCACTCTAAGTATTTACATTAACTTTATCTTTCAAAGTTGAAAAGCTACCTTATACCCTTTGGGGGAGATTAAAGAGATCCGCTTGGGATTTTAATTCAGTCTTAAACCATTGTTTAAATGGTATGAGTCTGGCAAAACTCCAGCTATACTCTGTCCCAAGTGCTTTTCCCTTTAACTATTACCCGTGTGTTTTAAGGAAAATTCAAGCCACATGTTTCTCTTTCCCCCTTGCATCCAAATGTAGTTTTATTGAATTTTAGCACGGTCCATGACATTCAAATTCTGAGTTTTAAGCCATAATATATTCAGATGATCTATATTCAGTCACATGATATGCACATATATCATTAAGCAGAAAATAAAGCATCTAAGAACTATAGTTATATGATTATAGTAACATT